TGTATATACAATTGCCACAGCTTAAGAAATTGTACATTTAAGATGCCATTTGTATATAAATTGCTCCTCTCTAAGGTTGATTTAAAATTTTGGTTGGAAGGAAGCAAATGGGTATAGCAGTCACACGAAATGTGAAAAATTATATTATGCCAGTAAAACTGTCAGGCTAGGTTAAGAAACAAAACCTAACCATGTCCTGTTTAGAAAAAAGAAACTTTTGAAAATTTGATAAGGAAATATGAAAAATAAAGAATTGGATAAAGATCTATGACCCAGGAAGACAACAACAAGAAATCAGTAATTATAATAATAGACAAGATGAAACCTGAACATCAAACTATATAAATGGTTATTATCATGATAAAAGGGACAGTTTATGACAATCTAAAAGTTATAAGCTTATTTGACTAAATAGCTAAATAAGGCAAAAATAACGTGGTAAATGTGTCATGGTGTGGGATTTCAATACACCTTTCTCAGAAATAGATCTACTAGGTAACAGGGGAGAATATGAAGGAGTTGAATAGTGCATTCAATAAACTGAATTACACATGAATCAGTACTGGTTTACATTCCTACGATAGATTGTCTTTTTTTTTTTTTTTTAAATGTTCGAGGAACTTTGATCAAAGTTTATCGATGTCCAACATACTTGACCACAAAGAAAATCTAAACAGGTGAGAAAAGTTGAGGTTTGTGGGTTGTTTTTTTTTTAATAGGCCACTTTACTTGGTAATAATACCAATGAACTTTAATAATAATTAAAAAGAAATATTATAATGGCTCCTTTGAAACCCGCCTCCTCTGGAGGGTTCCCCTATTTTCCCTGTATGTTTGTAGTGCAGAATCACCCCCAGTGTATTCTTGAATTGGAAACTTGGTAGAAGCAAGGAGTTACTAATTCTCTGTATCTGGTTTTCTATTGTTGAAGAGTCTTTTTTTTTTTTTTTTTTTTTTTTAAGATTTTATTTATTTATTAGTCAGAGAGAGAGAGGGAGAGCGAGCACAGGCAGACAGAGTGGCAGGCAGAGGCAGAGAGAGAAGCAGGCTCCCTGCTGAGCAAGGAGCCCGACGTGGGACTCGATCCCAGGACGCCGGGATCATGACCTGAGGCGAAGGCAGCCGCTTAACCAACTGAGCCACCTAGGCGTCCCTGTTGAAGAGTCTTTCTGTTTCAGTCAGATGCCTTTGTGTGACTGCTGGTAAAGTGAGCATAGGCAGTACCAGTGTGTGTACCTGCATCACCAGTGATAATATTAAACTTGACCTGAAAGTGTGGTTGATACTCCTGACCTTCCCCTTTCAATAAATACTCTACTGGCCATTCACTAGAACACAGAGAATTTCAGGTTAACCATGTAAAAGAAACAAGAATATCTAATATGGGGGGCGGGGAGGGGGCGTAGAGAAGAGCATGCTCTCACGTCCTGCTCGTGCAAATGTAAATTGTTACAGCCATTTTGGAAGTAATTTGGCAGCTTGGTTAACAATTAAAATTCATCTTCCTTTGGCCCAGTAATCCTCCTACTAAGATTCTATTCTTAGAAATTAAAGCACAAGTAAGGCCATATGTATAGAGATATTTATTGCAGCAATGTGCATAATGCCAGCTGACTGAAAACAAAATGAATGTTATTAGGAGAAAGGCAGGAAAAAATGCTATCCCAGTAGGTTAGAAGATAATGCTCCATGGAAAAAAATGGAGACTCATACCTGTTTGGTTGAAGAGATTCTCCCAGAGTTTTGTTGTGTGAGAAAAAGGAAGATGCAGAAAAGTTTGCATAATTGTGTAGCCAAACATTAATTGAAGAGAGCTGTGCATATATCATGGGCTCATAAGTATGAAGAAAAATAGTTAAGAACGCTTATGAGGTGGTTAAATGTTTATCTTAGTGTAGGGTGGGTGGGAGTACTTGGGGAGAGAAGTTACAAAGGGAGAATTGTCCCTTCAGTTGACAAAAGGCTATCTGTGATCGTAGCTGTTCGTTATTTGTAAAATTATATAAGTGCTAGATTTAAAGATACTCAGTGAATATTTAAAATTAAAATGACCTATTTCTTTTCTAAAAGTGATGCTGATTTGCCAAGGCCTGAGTATGTCTATGTATATGAAATACATAGAAACTCTTGGGAGCAAAACAAGCGTAGTAAAAAACCAGAAAACTTTCTGAGCTAGAAGGGCCTAAATTGTGTCCACACACACATACACAGTGAACCAGTAACCAGTGGGAACTGTATTAGCCCATAAACCTGGAGAGGCCTCTGTGGTTGGTTGGTTGGTACTGCTCTTCATGGACCTTTGCATTCCTTTGGTTTGTCATTCTTGGTGTTGGCTTTGTGTTCAACCTCATACCATGATGGCTGTGTTGCTGAGATGCAGTTTGGGGCACAAATTGGTTATAACACCCGTGAGAGGAAGGGGCAGGAAGCAGAATTGGGTAAAGGAAGAAGTTGAACTTCAATGCAGACCTGACAAAGGGGAGCTTAGAGCAAAGGACTGTGTGTCAGAGTTGTTTAGTGTTGGATTGAAATGCTCCAGCCTTTCTACCCTCTATGATGTGAGCTGCCCTGGGCAAGGCATGACTTGGGGCAAGGCAACTCCTGAAGAAACGGACACTGGGAGGCTGCCTGTTGATGAGGCAGTAAATCCTTCTTCAAAAGGGAGATTAATGTGATATATCTCCCTGTCTACCACAGTGTCTTTCTTTTTTTTTTTTTTTTAAAGATTTTTTTATTTTATTCATTTGACAGACAGAGATCACAAGTAGGCAGAGAGAGGCAGGCAGAGAGAGGAGGAAGCAGGCTCCCCACGGAGCAGAGAGCCCGATGTGGGGCTCGATCCCAGGACACCAGGATCATGACCTGAGCCGAAGGCAGAGGCTTTAACCCACTGAGCCACCCAGGTGCCCCTACCACAGTGTCTTTCTTAAGAATGAAAAAATAGTTCCTGGAAGCTCTCTATCAAGACTTGCCTTCACATCCAAGTATTAGATTACATGCTGTGACAGAGACTAGCAGTGACCTTTTTGGCCTCTTTCCCCTTTGCTAGTAAAGGGAGTCCTCATTTTTCATTGAGTACACGGTCATCTGGAATACTGGCTACATTTCCCAGCCTCCCTCTCCATTTAGATATGTCAGTAACTTTTGGCTGAGGGGATATAAGTGGAATTGTCCTATTTGTCTTAGAAGGAGGGGATGTGCATCTTGTTTTCTTTTCCTTCCTGCTGGGTAGAATGTGGGAATAAAAGCTGGAGTTTGAGCAGCTGTCTTGGATTATTAGGTGGAAGCCACATGTTGAGGATGACAGGGCAACAAGGTAGAAGAGCATTAGTTCCCTGTTGATTATAGAAATCCCGTAGGTGCTCTGTATTTCTTTGGACTTTATATCTTGGTTAAGTCATTACAATTTACATTTTTCTGTCAGTTGGGCTAGAACCTAATCTTAACTGATACACATTTCTAATCAGTTATTGGCAGGGAACACAGAACACCACAATTGGCTCAGACTAACATTTTGGGGGTAAAATGGATATTGGGAGTAAGTCATGGAGAGATTAATATCCAGGTAAGTACGGCAGAGGGAGAGAAGGGGAAAGAAGCCAAGGGATTTGCAGGTGATGATATTGTGATGGACCATGGAATCTTAAATAGGTAAGGGGAAAGTCAAGTGTGTGGGAGGTGGGTGATGAACATGAAGAAATCAGTGGATTGGAGGTCCCCATAGGGCTGATGACTTCCTGGAAAAGGGGAGCTAGGCTAAATGAACTTGAGACAAAAGATATAGTGGTCATAGCATAGGATGCCTAAAATGAAGATTTTGGTGCTTTTGCTCTCACAGATAATGGCAGGGCCCAGAGGAGTGGATGGCTCATGTGGGGTGGAGGAAAAGACTGTTAATGGTGAAGTTAAGAAATGGAGAGCTTGAGTTCTGATTGGAACATCTTGAATGTTGATGTAGTTGAATGGAAGGCAGTGAGCTAGATGCTAGTATCAGTGGGTGAGAAGGAGTAACTGGGATGCCAGTAGTTAACTCAGAAAGTAGGGGAGGCAGATCCAGAGGAGAACATCTATTTCAGAAAGGCTGACACTGATGATGGGAGAGGAAGGAAAAATGATCTAGAAACAGCAGTGAGGAAGGAAATAGCATCCTTCTTAAATATTAAAAAATTATATATAGCAAAAGATAACAGACACAAAATATAAAGAAAAAAGTAAACTGAGAAAATATATTTATAGTGTATTTAACATGCAGATGGGAGCTCTTTAATATAAAAAGAGCTCCTAAACATTAATTTGAAAAAGACAACTCGGTGGCAGAGTGGGCACAGAATATGGAATTTTAATTCACAAAGGAGGAAATGCAAATGACCAAAGCATATGAGAAGATATTCAAGCTTCAGGGTTAGTAGCAGTCCAAACATTAATGAGATATGAGGATATGCCTATCATATTGGCAAGACCTAAAAATATTGACAAACTTCAGACTTGGCAGGAGTGAGGGAAGACAGGTTCTGGAGGACACTGCTCATGGGGTGTGGTAGATTGCCTTCAGAAAAAGATGAGTGTGATGGGTCCATTGTGTGTTGTAGCTTGATGTGCTTGCCCATCTCAGTTGTGTTCCCCACAGTGTTACTGAATTAGATACACTTAAATTGTACCTGTAACTGTGTGATCTTACTTTTTAAAAACCAACTCAAATTTATACGTAAGTTCTTGTAGCCATTTTCATGGTACAAAGTATGGATTTCTTGTCTCAGCTAGAAAGATTTAGGTATGTTTTTGCTTATTCCTGTTAGTTTTAGTGTATTTGTGCCCCCTTTTCTTAAGTTTATGGCAAGTATTCTTTTCACCCAGATTAGTATACTCTGACTGTAACTATCCAGTGATTCTCTTCTGGTTATGCATTAATGTACCACTATGCTTAACTTTTAAGAAAGATATTGATATGTGAAATTTTGATGGACCTAAGTGTTTTTGTTTTTTTTTAATTTGCATTACAGACTAACTGGATCTTCTGGGTTTGTGACAGATGGACCTGGAAATTATAAATATAAAACGAAGTGCACATGGCTTATTGAAGGACAGTAAGTAGTAATGCCCGTTTTAATTTTTTTTCCAAGCTCAGTGTGGCATTACTTTTTTTTATAAGCAAAATTAACAATCTGTAAAATAAAGTACTTAAAGTGTATTTTATTTGATAACTTTTCATCTGACAAGTGAATTTATTTTTCTTAATCTTCATTGTTAACCTGAAAAAAAGTTTTGTGTCGATTTAAAGCTTTGAATGAATTGTACATACCAGAAATTTGTATATTCAATTATAATAATTAAAACTTGAATATTTTAAATGGTTTGCTTAAAGCAGTAGACAATTACAGTATTATAACATTTTTGTAAGTACCTAATTTATTGCGGGCAGGAAAATAAAAATAACTGTTACTGTTCAAATGGCTTCTTCTCTGGGCCTCCTATACCCTCCAGCTCTTGCCTTTTCCTTCTTCTCTCATGGCATTTTTTTTTTTTTTTTTTAAAGTAGGATCCATGCTGGACATGGAGCCCAATGTGGGGCTTGAGCTCATGACTCTGAGATCAAGACCTGAGCCAGAATCAAGAATCAGTTACTTATTTGACTGAGCCACCCAGGCATCTCTCTTTATGGCAGATCTTTAAAGCAACGCTTCTCAAACTTTGTGGTCTTAGGACCCCTTTACGTTCTTAAATTTTGAGATTTCCAAATAACTTTTGTTTGTATGGATTATATCTATGTTTATTATTATTATTATAAATTAATATTAAAGAAATTCTTCATTAACGCATTTAAAAACCTCCTACATGTCAGCCCATGTGACATTTCTGTGAAAAAATAAACCCTATATTTTTTTAAAAATCACTGAAAAGAATGGTATTGTTTTACATTTTTATAAAATTTCTTCTGTGGCTTGATAGAAGGTAACTGGATTATTATATTTTTTTTCTGCATTCACTTTGTTACATTATGTTATTGTGGATGAAGTATGTGAGGAAAATTAGTCTTGAATATGTAGTAGAAAAAGGAAGGAGATTTTGATAACCCTTTTAAATAATTTTGGATGCTCTCTTCTGATACACCATCAAACATGAAAGCTTGACAAGTGGTAATTTCTTTAAAGTGAATTGCAATGTGGAATCTGAAACAATGTTCAATGTTCATGAACTTTGGGAACTTAAGTTAAAATCTGTTGGTTTTCTTATACTCTGGAATGGCTCTTTAACCCTTGGATGGTTCTGTAACAGAACATATGGGTTATTTGGAAACTCGTAGTTCTCTGAATTACGCAGATCTTCCAAATTTTTATATATTTCATGACATAACATGAAAAGAAATCACTTGGTTAACATCACCATTAATCTCATTGGAAAGTTTGAAGCACTGGGAAGTTGCATCTGGGTGGCAGATGCAAATTTTCCATAACTCTAATTATTGCTTGAAAGCTTACATTTTATCTTTGGCACCAAATACTGTCAGTTGTTTTCTTTGAAGTGACAGACTTGCTTTGTTCATTTTTAAAAAAAAAGTATCTACCAGATATACAAGTCTGAGTAACCATAGTTTGTTAGTTCTTTTTTTTTTTTTTTAAGATTTTATTTATTTATTTGACAGAGATCACAAGTAGGCAGAGAGGCAGGCAGAAAGAGAGGTAGAAGTAGGCTCCCTGCTGAGCAGAGATCCTGATATGGGGCTCGATCCCAGGACCCTGGGATCATGACCTGAGCTGAAGGCAGAGGCTTTAAACCACTGAGCCACCCAGGCACCCTGTTAGTTGTTCTTTTAAGTAAAAATGATAGATGGCGTTCTGGGAAAAAGAGCAATTGGTTCAGCTCACCACCCAGACGATTCCAAGAGTGATTTTCCTTGAGACCACTGTCCTGTGCTGGGCTGCAGAAGTGCTTTGTCCGTACTTCCTGTCCTGTCCTGTTAAATATTCAAAAGATGTGTACTCGTGGTTCAAGATAATGACATTAATCATTTTTACCGCTTAATAAAGATACCCTTACACAAAACCCATTTTTCCTTTTTCTGTGAGCGTGTAGTGGTGAAGAATAACAGGGATTACTGGTCCAGTTTGGTGCTTCTGCCTCGCTCTGTCCCAAGGTGCTGGCAGTATCTTTCTCCCCACATCGCTCCGCACCTAGTAAATACCAACGTGCTGATAAAGGCACGTGATATTTTAGGATTATCACGAACATAGATTTGACCTCCTAGACCGCCTCAAAGAGTCTCAGGGCCCCTCCCAGCATCGCGAGGCCCAGAGCTCCAGAACTGCTGCTTTAAGGAGTTGTTTGCCCCTATGCTTTCTATCAGTTCATTCTGATCTGACGTCCTTCTGTAGCAGTCCTCTGAAGGTGCTCCTGGTTGGTCCTCCTCAGCCTAAGGAAAACCTTTAACTCCTCTTTCCCCTTATCCCCACATTCAGCCTGTCAGTAAGTTCTGCCCGTTTTCCCTCTAGAATGCTTTCCCAGTCCATCTACCTTCTCCTTTTCATCTTCATCTCTATCATTGCAAGACACCAACCATCCTGTCTTTCCTGGGCCACTGTGATAGCCTTGAAATTGGCCTCCTGGCTTTTGCTGTTGCACCTTGCCCATCTCTCACTTCTCATCTTGTGTGGTGTCCTCTATTTTCTGTGTTGCAGACACACTGATTTTTTTCATGTTGCTTGGACACATCACCCTCTTTCTCACTTGGACTTTAAGACTGTGCTGTTCCCTCTGTCCGAAACATGGTTCCCTATCTGTTTCACATGGCTTATCTCTTGTTCTCAAATCTTCTAGAGATTTCTGGGGGTAATTCGCTACCACCTGTTGTACACCTCACATTCCTTTCATATCTTCACAGGAGCCATAATCAGCTGAGTTAACTTGTTTATGAACTTACTTAGTTGTTTGCTTAGAGATGTTAGCTAAACGAGTGTGGAGTAGAGGGAAGGCCTAGGCTGGAGACATATAATTAGGCATCGCCAGGGTATAAACAGTGTTGATATTACCAAGAGGTTTTTGAGTGGAGTGTTTGGGTGGAAGCCAGGTTTGAGAGCAAAGAGGGTGAGTGGGATGTGAGGAAACAGAGAAAGCAAAGTCTTGTGTGGAGGTTCACTGTCTTCAGCAGAGAGAGGTAATAGCCGGAAGGAGAGTTGAGATTTGACATTTTTATGTTTTGTTATTTTTTGTAAAATACGTGCTACTTAAAGAGATTAAAATGAGGATGTGGAAAGTTCCAGATGAGAGGGAGATGTGGAGTGTTTGAAAGATGGACAGAGGAGTGGGTGGGTGCATCTGTTTTGGAAAATGGGGAATTGGGAGATTTTTGTCTGGGTGCTGAGCTTAAGCAGGGAGGTGGCACCAAATGGTTTGAAATAGTAATTGGGAGTGAGCAGCAGTTGTGGAGAAGGAGAGAGAGAATGAGTAGTGGCACTGCTAGCAGAATTGAAGTACCAATTGGAAGTTGGTAAGCTGTGACCTGTCCTGAAACCAGCCTACCTGGTGGTCTTGAGGACCTCTAGAGGACCAGTGATAGGCTTAGTTTTCTTTGCATTTAATCTCAGTCAAAGCAGATAACTCGTGTCCTCTAGACCAGGCCTTGGCCAGGTAGTTGTTTGGAAAGGCAGAAGGGTAGGCAAGTATAGAGAACTGGCAGTTGTGTTTGTGAAATGAAGTGGTGTGGAATCTGAAGTTGAGTAAGGAAGGAAGTGCTGAAACGGAAGGGCTAATGGGTTGGTTCACAGGCTGTTTAAAAACAGCCACTGTACAGACTGTAAGGCCCAGAGAGGCATAGGTCAGGGTGATTTTGTTTACCATCATGTGCTTCGTGGTCTCATGCACACAGTAAGTAGGAAATAAATCTTCGACATATGAAGGAATGTCGTTTATGTACTATTCATTTCTTCTCTCCCTGTAAGTTCTTTAAAAATCGATCTTTCTCTAGTTTCTTCTCAAATGTTTTATAGTTATGATGATTATTATAAACTGCCTCTCTTGTTCTTTTCAGGCCAAATAGAATAATGAGACTCCGTTTCAATCATTTTGCTACAGAGTGTAGTTGGGACCATTTATATGTTTATGATGGAGACTCAATTTATGCACCACTAGTTGCTGCCTTTAGGTAAGTTTCATCACATAAGTACTAGTTAATCATTATTTGATTTCTGAATTCAGACTTACCTCCTAGATTGCAAACTCTTATTGTCACTTACCACCTTTATTTCATGGAGAAGGTGCTAGTTCTGGAATCCTCTGTCACTTGTGCTCTAGGCCTGACTTGGTTTCCTGTAGCCACTGGGTAAGTTTCTGGGCTGAGTATTGGACCTCTTGTTTCAGTTTCCTCATCTATAAAATTGTGGCAGTCGTATCAAGTTTACTCACTTCTTATGGTGGTGGTGCAGTTTACATTTAAAAAATGTTTTGTGAGTAATATATTAGATATTATTTCTGTGAAAAATTTGGATCACGAACCAGTCACCTTGATCCTTGGGGTCCTCATCACATAGGCCTTTCAGGAGTTATTTGTTGAATTCGATCTAGTGTGTGTGTGTGTGTGTGTGTGTGTATTTATGTATATGCATTAATATGGCTGAGGAGGACTTTTTGGAAGAATACACAGAAAATGAAGAGTAACCTGTGGGAAGTGAGGAAAATACCGATTATGGTTTTTTTTGGACAAGTGTATTCTTGATTAGTAGTTAAATGAAACAGCTTAACACTAAATATATGGAGTGTTCTCTATTGTTTTGGTATTTTCGTTTTTATTAACAGTCAGTAGCTTTGTTGTTTATTATGTTTTTGACTACATGGGAATTCAAAACCATCCATTTTTCTTCCTTTTACTTGATAGAGAATTTATAAAATGTGTTTTTCTATATATGGCTATAGAGAGCCATAGCTGTCATTTTTTTCATCTGCAGCTGACTTTCCGGATTTCTTCCTGACTTTTTAATTCCCTGACTTTAAAAAGATATCAATTCAACAAATATTTTTTGTATTCCTCACGTGGGGTTAGTCTTGACGTTTCATGTCAGTGAGGAGGTAACAGAGAATAAACAGTACACAGCAGCCCAAGGACACAGGAAATCAGGGGACTAATGTGCCCTGATATTTCTCCACTTCCTTTGGCTTAGAATTCTCTCCATCGTATCTTTAAACTGAGAACCAAGGTCATTTTCTGGGTATCAGAGGTTCACCAATAGAGCCAAAGAATAGGGTAGATAGGCCGTGCTAAGCAGTAAAATGTCATCATCCAAGTGTGGGGAGTACACACTTTTATGCCAGAATTTGAAGCATACCTTGGGTTATGTCAAGAGGCACCCCAAACTTCAATAAGCATGAAAACTGTCTATAATAGGATGTTTCCATGATAACACTTGCTGGGATTTCTGGGGGTTCACTCAACACTGAGTTCATGCCGGGCACTCTGACTCAGCTTGCCAGTGGCCCTTTTGGGAACTTCAGCCAAGCAGGTGCATTGCCTTGTGGCTCCCCTGGACTGTATAGCTGATGAGCACACACGTGACGCAACAGCAGCAACAAAACAAGCAGGAGGCTATAATTTTTTGGGTCAGTGACTTCTGAGAGAAGCCAAAGTATATGTACAAATAACTGGAAGGTTTTTATGGTTCTCTATAAAAGCTCATTAACTAATAACATAAATTAACACATGGATTATTTTAAAATTTAAACTAATAACATATTTAGTTTGAAGTTTCTGAAATGACAGTGAACAAATATGTGTTCGAAAATTGAAATTTGCCTGAAACATGAAACCCCTAGAAGCAGTGATGTGCAGAACACCTTGAAAACCACTGTTGAAGCCATGAGGGCACTGGCACAAGATGGGGGCTGAGGAGGGCTGTTGGGTCAGGAGAGCTTTGGGGGGAAGAATCAACCCCATGGTGACCTGCAGGCAGAGGAGGAGGCCGAGTGGTGGGAGCCTGTGGGCACAAGGCCCAGCTAATGAGAACCCGTGGGATTCCGAAGGTGGGGACTGTGGATGTCATTTCTGCCCAAGTCTCTCTGTCAACTCGGAGCAACTCAACGTGCTCTAGTTCTCAGTTTCTGCTGCCTCAGGTCCCAGTGCTCTACTGTGCTTTCTCTGAACTCCAAACTTTCATTTGATTCTGAACTGGCTGATGGCCTTTATCTTTGACATATTGAAGTTCTGAATAAAATTTGCGTATCAGACCAGGTTCCGTTAGCAGACAGATCTGAGAGCCGCGGGGGCGGCAGGATTCTTCCAGCTCTACCACTCCTGTTTGTGGGACACCAACTTCCACAGATGTGTCAACGGAGCACCTCTGTGAACGGCCCCTCTGCTGGGAGCTGTCGCAGAGTGGGGAGTGGTGATGGAGCAGGGAGAAGAGATTTCCTTTCTGAGAACTTTCTTCATCAGAACATTATTCCTTGGAGAGTTGGTGGTTTTTTCTGGCGGGGGAGGCAGGGGGAGGCATCTGTTGATAGGGCAATTGTTGAGACTGTGACAGAGAGCTATTAGAAGAGCTTCATGAGAACAGGAACCCGTCAGTTGTCCGGCACTCTGCTGACCCAGCTGACTCTGTGGTCAGACCACGGCACATGAGAAGCTGTCAAAGGCAGGTACCTCGCAGGTTCGTGGATCTTTCCACCAGGACCTAACCCTAACCCCAGCCCCGTCGCCAGACTCTGAGCTTGAACTTGAAGAATCTGGCTTCCCTTCCCCATCTCCCTGCCCCCAGGGGGCATCTCATCTTGCAAGGAGACAGGTGTGTCAAATCTAGGATTGCCAGGAAACTCGACTGGTATAGTTGGTGAAGGCAGGGTGTGCCCCAGGTGTGTTCAGAGAACCCATGTCTGCCTGGCACCATTCTACTGAATTAAGATATCTTTGAACGGTGGTTTTCAAAAATTGTTCTAAACAGTGGTTTAAAATAAAAGATTATACAGAACCCCGGGGTAGGCAGTTCTTGATTGGCTCAAACTGAACACGTGGCTGCCCCCTAAGCCTTGGCTGAGTGTATTTATCTACCTGGGGGGAGGAGAGGGGGAGGGAGGTGGGAGGCTGCTCGTGGTGACAGTTGAATGGCACGCCTGCAGCATCGCTTTCTCACCCACGCACTTTCCATTGCCTTGTGTGCTGGGTCGAGGCTGTGTTTGTACTTATTTACTCTGTAGAAGTTTATTTTTATCATAAATGGGTTGTTTTATTTTCACTGGGAGAAAGTGGCACATTCCAAAGCTGTCACAATGTCAGGTTTTCAAAGTGAAAAGAAGCCAGTGCCCGTCTCTCTGACAGTGAGGAAGCTGACCCCCTTTGTCCAGCATCATGTTCATCTGGTGCACGCAGCCCTCCACCCCTGCCGTGTGACTCTGCCCTTCCTCCCTCCTCCCAGCCTACTGTTCTGTCCCGCACACTTAAATGTCCCCACCATATGAGTAATGAACACCATGAGCCATCACTTACTGAGCACCTGCTAGGGTGAGGCGGTGTTTCAGGACTTACGTGCTGTAATAGTTTGCTTCTTGTTGTATCGCTGCGAGGCAGGCAGGATTTCTGCCTGTGCACCTTTGAGGACACTGAGGTTCCCAGATGTCTGTGACGTGCCCAGGCATGTGGATTGAGGATTGATGTTCCCATCTCTGGTCCTGAAGCTCATGCTAGGAGAGGAGTGTGGGTCTTCTGCATGTGACTGAAGCCCCCAGTCATTCCTGGGGCAGTATTTCTTCTGGGAAGATTACTTCCAACATACCTGTTTCGAGGTGGCCCTCTAACAGGTACATCCCTGCTCAGCATTTCAAGGGGTTTTGGTACATGAAGTTGATGAAAGCATGATCACAGTTGAAACCTTCATGTAGGTCTCTAACCAAAGGTCACCTTTCCCGAGAGACCTTCCCTAGCTGCCCCTTTCTAAAGTAGCACCTTTTGTTCTTTCACTGTTTTATTCTTAGCATTTATCTTTCCCTGGTGTTACATACACACACCTGTGTGTCAGGGTGGGGGTGGGGGTATATCTAGGCTCATTCGTCATTTCCCTGATGTGAATTCCACGGAGGCAGGGAGTTCTTCACTGCCATGTTCCTGGTGCCTAGAACTGTGGCTCACCCGCAGCATCAGTAAATGTTGGTTAGCTGACTACATGGTGCAAAATGCTTCACTGTTTTGTAAACTCGGAGCACCTTGGGAGTTCTCAAGTTCCTAGAATTCTCTCTTTGTATTTAAGATCTTACTGAATGAAAATCCCATCCCCTCCTCCTCATTTCCTGCTTCTATATTCTTCCAGTGCATTATTTTTATATGCACTTATCTAAATATGTGTAAATGTACACATACGCTAGGCCCTTTGTTTTGCAGCTTGTTTTTTCCCCTACTTACTGGAATGCCTTGACGAGCTCCTTGTTATTCTGCAGACTTACAGATATGGAATGATTCGTCATCCGACTCCCCGCAGATTCGTATTTAGGTGGTCGTCTTCTTCCTCTTTATCCTCCTCCTCTTTTTTTTTTTTTTTAAGATTTTATTTATTTATTTGACACAGAGAGACACAGCGAGAGAGGGAACACAAGCAGGGAGAGTGGGAGAGGGAGAAGCAGGCTTCCCGCTGAGTAGGGAGCCCAATCCGGGGCTCAATCCCAGGACCCTGGGATCATGACCTGAGCTGAAGGCAGACACTTAACAACTGAGCCACCCTTGCGCCCCCTCCTCCTCCTTTTTTTTTAAGTAATCACTATGCTCAACGTGGAGCTTAACTCATGACCCCTAGATCAAGAGTCACATGCCCTACCAGCTGAGCCAGCCAGGTGCCCCTAGGTGATTTTCAAGCTTTTGCCATTCTGAATAGTGCTACAGTGAGGACTGTTGTATATTTGTCTTTGCATACATGAACAAGTATTAGTTCTACAAAGAACTTAGAATTGCTAGGTCACAGTGAATGACTGTCGAAGACTGTCATAGGGCCTGATGGGGAGTTTATGTGGTGTGTGCTATAGGAAAGCAAGGAGACTAGTGTGGCTGGGGTTGAGTGAGTGAAGGGAAGAGAGTAATAGATGAGATGTTTGTTCATTGGATGGGGCTGTGTGTGTGGAGCAGATTGCATAGGACCTGGTAATGATTCAGGTTTTCACTGAACGTTGTGGTGGTAATAGTGCATTGATAATTGGGCAGAAGATGTGTACGTATGAAGAAATGCAGAAGGCTAGTAAACATACAATAAATGATTAACTTCAGGAGTGTAAAAGAAACTCAAAACCACAGTATAAAACAATTACTTTTTACTTATTAAATTACCAAAGCTAATATAGGACTGGTAATCCTTCCTATTGGCAAGTGAGGTAGGCTGGACCTTTCCATTCTCATATTGATGAGATTTCAAGTTGACATATTACTTCTGGAAAGCAAGTTGGTTTTATGGATCAAGAGGTTTAAAGCCATCCTTTAGACCCTTTGACTTGATAATTTTTAATGCTCTCTAGACACCCAGCAAATATCTTCTGTGTTGGACTCTGAATGAGAGGGGAATTGCTTATGATGTATTACTTATAAAATAGAATATAAGATGTTATATGGTACTGATTAGGCAAAGAAAGTACATCAGAATGATAATAGTGTTAAGATTGTGATTCTGACAAATAAAGCAATACAAATATTAAAAAAAGATTGTGGGTGTTTATCAAGTTTATTTATAATTTTATTTTTCATACTTTTCAGTAGTTTATATTTGACATTCATCAACTCATAAAGTTTGTTACTGTGATTTTGAAGGTTTACTCAGTTTTTTGAAGAGGAATTAGAAATAGTTTTATATACAAAAAAAAAAAAAAAGAATAGGGCCATTGATTGCAAATCTCATTAGAAATATAACCCAGGATAAAGGAGGGCCTGGTGAAAGATTCAGATCTGTTCCTCAGAGGATTCAGAACTGGATCCAGACTGATCAGGTGGCAGTATGTGTTTATCACAAGAATTTGCCCCTCTTCCTCAAAGTGTTTTTTTAAAAATTCTAAGGTTTGAATTTGTGTGCCGCCATGTGATTGATGTGCCTGGTGACCATGCTTCCCTTTGTAAGAAATGTGTTTTCATTTCAGTGGCCTCATCGTCCCTGAGAGAGATGGCAACGAGACTGTCCCTGAGGTTGTTACCACATCAGGTTATGCCCTGCTGCATTTTTTTAGTGATGCTGCTTATAATTTGACTGGATTTAATATCACTTACAAGTAAGATATTTAAGTCTAATCGTTGTGATTTTATTCAGACACTGTATTTAACAGTAATAACAACTAACACATATCGAGGGCTGATGGTGTGCCAGACATTGCACTAAGCAGTATGCGTGGATTTTCTCGTCTAAAGTTCTTTTAAAAACTCAGTGAAGTACAGCACTGTGTTTTTCACTCATTCTATAATGGAGGAAACTGGTGGGAAACTGTGAAATACATTGTCAAAGATCTGGGACCACAGTTTCAACCCAGGTCTTGCGTTTGAGCTTCTTCTGGAAAAGAGGGGCATTTTTCTGCTGATGGATGAAAACACTGGGGCTTCTTGCTAAGTGCAGTTTAACAGATATTAGTCATTCTCATGTACTCAGTTGTTGGCCCACTGATGAGGACTTAGCTGAGATTACAGAGGAAATGTAGACAAACAGACCTAGACATCTTTGGGAATTTCTCATGATAGGAGAGAGGCTAACTTTTGTCTTTTCTTATTTTACTCTTAAGAAATGTTTGTTTTTGTAAGTAGTTAAACCCATAAAGCTCCCTAAGCAAGGGCTCTGTAATAGAGAGCATCTGCGGCACACGGAGCCCAAGATACTATGTGGTTTTTTGTTTTTTTTTTTAACTTTTTAAAAAAATTTTTTATTCATTTATTTGACAGAGATCACAAGTAGGCAGAGAGTCAGGCAGAGAGAGAGGAATGGAAGCAGGCTCCCTGCTGAGCAGAGAGCCAGATGTGGGGCTTGATCCTAGGACCCTGGGATCATGACCTGAGCCGAAGGGAGAGGCTTTAACCCACTGAGCCACCCAGGCGCCCCTACTATGTGGTTTTTTTACAGAATAAGTTTGCCAACTCCTGGCAGCGGCAGGAAGCTCCATGTATAACCTTTATGCTGGATTCTTTATCTGCCTGTTTTCTCAGGGTCTCCGGATTCTTTCAGGCCTCTTTAGACCGATCTCTGTCTTGCTTGGTACACTCATTTAGCTTTTCAGGTGCCCAAGGTTTGTGACTTGGCAGCCTGGCCAGTGTATCACAGTACTAGCAAGCTGATTTTTCATGAGCCAGGCAGGCATAAAGGCTGGGTTGAGAGGAAAGACTGATGAGTCTGGTTGGGTACATGTGAGATGTCTAAGCAGGACATTGATATTCAGATCCAGGGCCCAGAAGAGCCAGGGGTTGTCATCTGGGAATCACTAGCATATGGACAGTAACTGGCTTATGGGGCGTGTGCACAGTGAGGAGAAAGGCAGTAGAGGCAGCTAAGGGGTAGAGGAATGCCTGTGGGCTGTGTCGTTACAGAAGCTCAGAAAAGAAAGTTTTAAGGAGGGAACTGACAGCTATGAGGTTGAGTAAGCAGAGGGGAGCCCTAGGTGACCCTAGCTGGGGAGGGTGGAGTCAGGGGCCTAGGAGAGGCACAGTTCAGAATAGAAGGTTAGAGAGTCACAGCATTGAGAGTGGGACACTCTGGGAAGAGGTTCAGCTCTGAAGGGAAGGGTAAAGGCTTAGGCTGGTACTTTCCAAACTTCACATGCACAGGGATCTCCTGGAGGGGCTTGTTAAGACACGCATCCCTGGCCCTTCTCCAGAGACCAGAGTTCAACAGAGCTGGAGCCTGAGAATTCAGATTTCTGATAAGCTCCTGGGTGATGCTGCCTCCCCTGTTCGTGGTCCACACTCTGAGGAGCATTGATCTAGACATCCATCCAGGCCCCATTCCAAGTTCCCTATAGGTTCTTAGGTACAGTCTTTGCTCTTCCAAGTCTCCTCATAGTAGCAGCCTTGGGGAAGAAGAGAAACTCCAGGGAGGGAGCATCCCTAGAGAAAAGGCAATTCAAATATCCCTTGACACCGGAAGCCCTTTGCCCCATCACTGGAGATCTCTGTTAGCTCTGTGGTCATTAACAAGAAATGAATGTTTTTCTTACCTTGATTGGTGTAGGGGAAGCCTTGATCTCTCCTGGAGACCAGAATTAGTATTTATTTATTAAGTGAAGGAATGTTAAGGTTATCCTAAATTTTACTAGCTTCTTGGTTCCAAGATCTCTCTTCTTTAAAAAGGAGCCCTAAACCATTCTGGGGCTTCTAGACCCTTTGAAAAGCCAAATTAAACGATGTTCTTTATTCCCAGAAGAATGCCCAGAAGGACACACATAAAACATTGTTACTCATTTTCTAGGTGTCCTCAGGTTGCACCGAATCCTACCTTTGGACCTGCCTCAACTGGGGGACCCTTGAGACTAGTACCCATAGTTACTTTGGTGTTGCCTAATTTTCTTCTCAAAGAAGAGAAAAGTAGTTATATTTTATTTTCACACAAATTGGCATTTCATCTTATTTCCGAGTCACATTTTAAGCACAAATAATTAGACTAATTTTCTCATTGCTCCAATTTAGACATACGCGCAGATGTTTCGATGTATTACCTGCCACTTTCATTTTTCTGAGATTCAAAAATGATTTTTGTGTTTTGAGATTTTATGTAACTGTAACGAGTGCTCATAATTAATTTTTGGCACATGAAGTCCACGTATGCCTGAGGGCACTGGAGTGAAGAAGTTGAGGCACAGGGGAAGTTGTGATATTTGCCCTCCCTTAGTTTAGTAGGTGCTAAGGGTTACTCCCTCCTCTTTTCTTTTCAGTAACATGAAATTTTGGTTGTGTGCCATTCCCTGGTATACGGTTAATAAGTGTGTCAGTAGGAAATTAATAATTTGACATATTTTTGGTGTGAGGCATAAGGGTGAGCACATCATGGCAATGCTTTACTACAGATTTATCCTAGACCTTTTATAAAAACAAAGTATGATTATTGTAGCCATTTTACCATAACAAGTCCAATCTGAGATTTAAAGTTTAGTTTTTATAAACCATTGTCTTACAAAGGCCTTTTTCTTAAAAAGATGAAATTGAAGCTTTACTTCTGTGTTTATATTATTGTAGAGATGGTAGACACCACTTTCTAGAGGCTGATAAGAATGTCATTCAGCTTTTTTTTTTTTTTTAAGATTTTATTCCTTTATTTGACAGACAGAGATCACAAGTAGGCAGAGAGGCAGGCAGGGGGTGGGGGGGAAGCAGGCTCCCTGCTGAGCAGAGAGCCCAATGTGGGGCTCGATCCCAGGACCCTGGGATTATGACCTGAGCAGAAGGCAGAGGCTTTAACCCACTGAACCACCCAGGCGCCGCTCATTCAGCTTTTTTAACCAAATACTTTATGTACTTATTCTGCTTACTGGGTCTTGAGAAGTAGATATACATATTTCTTACATTGTAATTACATAGATTATAAAAATATTGTTTATAAATATTTATAGAATTATAGAATATATTACAAATATGTCATAAACTGATATTTGGGTACAGGTATAAACATTAATTAGCTTGTTTTTATTTTATTTATTTATTTATTTATTAAAAGATTTTATTTATTTATTTGACAGAGAGAGATCATAGGTAGACAGAGAAAGAGAGAGGGGGGAAGCAGGCTCCCCGCTGAGCAGAGAGCCCGATGCGGGGCTCCATCCCAGGACGCTGGGATCACGACCTGAGCCGAAAGCAGAGGCTTTAACCCACTGAGCCACCCAGGCGCCCCAATTAGCTTGTTTTTAATAACTGATTCCTGATTTTTTATCAAGCTTTGCTACAAAATTTCTTTTTAGTTTTCTTTGTAGGTCTTAGAAGAAATCTACATTCTTAAAAGTATCCTGATAGTTCCGTTATTGCTTTCCCCTTTGAAATCTGAATTATGTCTTCTTAGAGTGCTGTCAATACAGTTATCTTTCTTTTTAAATATTATTATTTGAGAGAGGGAGAGAGCATGAGTGTAGGGGGAGGGGGAGCAGCAGACAGAGGGAGAGAAAGAAGCAGACTCCCCACTGAGCAGGGAGCCTGATGTGGGGCTGGATTGCAGGACTCCAGGATCATGACCTGAGCCAAAGGCAGATGCTTAACTGACTAAACCACCCAGGTGCTCCTCAATATAGTTACCTTTTTTTTAATTTTTTTTTAAGATTTTATTTATTTGACAGAGATCACAAGTAGGCAGAGAAGCAAGCGGGGGGTGGGGGGAGACAGGAAGCAGGTTCCCTGCTAAGCAGAGAGCCTAATGCCGGGCTTGATCCCAGGACCCTGGGATCATGATCTGAGCTGAAGACAGAGGCTCTAACCCACTGAGCCACCCAGGTGCCCCGCAATAAGTTATGTTAAGTTGTGTTATTATGAGACGCATTATAGTTAAACTGTTGAATTAAACTGGTTCTCCCTTTTCTTCCATCTGATATGAGTAGATGACTTATTGAGGAATTTTAAATATACCACTCTGGGCAATAATCTTTAACTTTCTGAACTTTTAGAAACTGTCCAGAGGTATACACACCATGAGGATGGGTAATATATTGTTAGCACTTTGTTTTATCCCCTTCCTCCGAACTTGGAAGCTTGTATTTGACAGTTCCCTTTTTTAATTATTATTAGATTTTACTTATTTGAGAGAGAGACTGAGACAGAGCAAGCATGAGCAGGGGGAGGGGCAGAGGGCGAGGGAGAAGCAGACTCCCCACTGAGCAGGGAGCCTGATGCTGGACTCCATATTCCAGGACCCTGGGATCATGACCTGAGCTGAAGGCAGAGGCTTTAAACCACTGAGCCGCCCAGATGCCCCATATTTGACAGTTTTCTAATGCCCATCACTAGGGGGGCCACCAAGAAGAGCATAGTCATCCTACCTTTGAGAAGCTAAGCCTGCACATTTTGCAAGAATTTCTTCTCCCTTTAAGTTTTTTAACTTGTCTTGCCCTGTGAGAATCCAGCAGGGTTGGATTTGATTTCATTACCTGCCCTAGCTATGCAGTGTTGACTGACCCTACTTAGGCCAACTGGTAAGTGCCGCCATTATGCTTGTGGATGAACCGGAGAGCCCGTGAGAGTCTTAAACCTTGTGTAGGTAAAAATTCTGCTAAATTAATTGAAGTGTTGCTTTGTGTTGATTTCATTCTCCCCCCACTGTTTTGATAGTTTTGACATGTGTCCGAACAACTGCTCAGGCCGAGGAGAATGTAAGAGCAGTAATAGCAGCAACACTGTCCAATGTGAATGTTCGGAAAACTGGAAAGGGGAAGCATGCGATATTCCTCACTGTGTCCATGACTGTGGTTTTCCTTATCGAGGTGGTTGCAATTCAAGCGATGTCAGAGGATGCTCCTGCTTCCCCGAGTGGCAGGGTAGGAGCTGCTTTTCTCTTGTTTTTTCTTCCCTTTTACAGCATCTTCCTAGTTGAGTAAATTGTACATTGACTTCATTCCTTGCACATATACCACTTATGTTAATGAGGTATCAGGGAGCATTGAAGTCTTTGCATCTTGTTATTCAGATTCTTACAGATCTTTCAATTTCATAGATGTGTGGTTGTAGTCTCTTTAGAATCATGGAGGGGTTTCAACATTCTTTGCAATTCATTCATGAAAATTGGAGGACTTGGTCTCAACCTCAAGAAAATACAGCAGAGAACCAAGCCTAGGAGGTGGGACAAGAACTATCAGTGATAGTATCTCTCAGAAACTTTCAATAAATTCAGAAAAAATTGGGGTCGATTATACAATATCATTCTAAAACAGCAAGTGGAATTACCTGCAGATAGAGAGGTTATCAGAGAAGCTTTAGCAAATTCTTTAAGGTTTGTGTGATAACACCTGTTACTGATTTAGTGTTTTTCTTTATACATGCATCTTTTCTTCAGAGTACTTTTATTTTGAAAGGAAATGTGTTTGTTTAAATGTTCTTGTTTATGTGCTTGGGCCAAAACCAATGAGTTAAGGAATTGAAGTGTTTGAGTACCTATCTCTGTGGAAAGGTAGCAGCAAGAGGCACAGCCCCCAAGAATGGAGTTTCTTGATTTTCCAGGAATTGGATGGGTTGTATTATTACTCCCAGGACTATTACTCTTTCTTTACCTTTTAACCCTAAAGTTTTTCATTTGAATCAGTAATTTCTTCGTCTACTCTTTCCTATGCGAGCTGTTGAAGCAAGTATTTCATTACTAAAAAATCCTAACCTGACTGTGGTCAAGTCATCATGAGAAAGTATGTGATTTTGAATTATACTGGAGATGACCCTTGTCACCAGCTTTGAGTGAATCGAAAGAATGAGTTAAAGGGCTTTATCTGACATTTCGATGCTAAAGGAACGACTAAGTATTCTTTAGATAGTTGTTACATTTATATGATTAAAACTTGAAATGCAGTAATTTTAAAGCTGCATTTTGTGAAGCTAATTTATTCTGTTTTATTAGGTCCCGGATGTTCGATTCCTGTGCCAGCTAACCAGTCATTTTGGACTCGAGAGGAATATTCTAACCTAAAGCTCCCCAGGGCCTCTCACAAAGCTGTGGTCAATGGAAATATAATGTGGGTTGTTGGAGGATATATGTTCAACCACTCAGATTACAACATGGTTCTAGCGTAAGTTGTTTTAAACATTTTTGTAAGAAGCTTACTAGTTTCCCATTTTGAAAATTTGGAGATAAATGAAGTCGTCAGTGATTCCATTACCAGAGGAAACTCCCTGTTAGTATTTTAGTAGTACTGTTCCAGAATTTTTTTGACATGTTCTTAGTTTTTGAAGTTGGGAGCCACAAGGAATGCATTGTTATAATAAGCAATAATTAAAATTTTCTAGGTACCATCTCTTATATTTTACTTTAGGCTCTATATAAATTGGGGGTTACTTTACCTATAAATTTAATTAGCATTTTTGTAGGTCAGATGGTTTGAATTTATAGTTTGCTAGAGAAAATTATGCCATGGTCTAACACTTGACCTAGAGTTCAAGGTCTGTTTGCTGGTCCTATGTTGCTCATCTTGAAGGGAGAATATATGTTATCACAGTGGAGTTATGAAGTTAGTTATGAAGATTGATTTTAGGGAGAAATTTATGAACACGTACTCATGCCAATTTTGTGCCCTGGAAATTTTTTCTAGACATTTTTTATTAATGAAGATTGTCAAAAACCAGAATCTGTTCTGTAAGGGATTCTGGAACTATGGCAGTAAAGGCATAGTTTCTGAATCTCTCAAGTAGTCATTAAAGCATATAGATAACTAGCATAGCAAAATGAAAAAAATACATGGGTAACAAAACAAAACTTGGTCAGAAGGTGTCTGCTCAGATGAAGGGGGGCTAACTATTGACAGCTACAAAGCCTTTGTGGTATTAGAATCTGAGCAGGAGTAAGCAAAGGAGAGCAGGTGGCCAACTGATAGGCTCCAGTATACCTAGAAGAAGCTGCTTTTGAGAACGGTAGTTGGAACTGGAAAGATTTGTATATTTTGGTAGGGGGTAAGCACAAGGGATCTGTAGTAAGGTCTGAAGGGGCTAGAGCAGTTTGTGCCTTTTTAGCTCCCCAAATGAACTAGCCAGTCTCTTTATGAGAGAAATTTCCACACCAAGGAGAAACTGCTGGGAATAAAATTCAAATTGAAGAGCATAGGGACCATAGAGGAAAAATTAAGAGTGTCCAGGTAACAGAGGGACAGAGCCAGATATCTCAACAAGTAAGCTGCTGTCTTTTGAACACCACACCATTGACAATAGAAGAGTAAACTAGAGAGCTGAGAAATTAGGAAGATGGTCCTAACCCAGGTCTCTCCTGTAGAAGTTCAGGGAAAAGTAGTTTTACTTAAAATTGAGCAACAGAAAAGTATCAAGTTTTAATGACATAGAAAATTAAAAGTTAAAGTAACATAGAAAGAAAAAAGAGACTATCTGGTAGAATAACCTGCCATTGTACATGAAAGCGTAGTAGAAAAATACACTCCCAAAACTGATGAAAGTGAGAACTTACTGTTCCCAAACAAGCTAAAATACAGGAAGAAAATGATGCAAGACATGAAAGAACAATAGAATCAGAAGTAGAAAAATCCAGAAATGAGATGGTAGAAGTTAGGAAAGAATTTTTTTAAATTTAATTTTATTTTTTCAGTGTTCCAAGATTCATTGTTTATGCACCACACCCAGTGCTCCATGCAATACGTGCCCTCCTTAATACCCTCCACCAGGCTTACCTAACCATCCACCCCCACCCCTCCGAAACCCTCAGTTTGTTTCTCAAGAGTCCACAATCTCTCACGATTCATCTCCCCCTCTGATTTCCCCCAATTCACTTTTCCTTTCCTTCTCCTAATGTCCTCCATGTTATTCCTTAAGCTCCACAAGTAATTGAAACCATATGATAATTGGCTCTCTCTGTTTGACTTATTTCACTCAGCATAATCTCCTCCAGTCCTGTCCATGTCAGTATAAAAGTTGGGTATTCATCCTTTCTGATGGAGGTATAATATTCCATTGTATATATGGACCATATCCTCTATAAACAACTCCTCAAACTCAACACTCAAAAAACAGATAATCATGTCAAAAAATGGGCAGAAGATATGAACAGACACTTCACCAAAGAAGACATACAAATGGCTAACAGACGCATGAAAAAATGTTCATCATCATTAGCCATCAGGGAGATTCAAATCAAAACCATATTGAGATACTACCTTACACCAGTTAGAATGGCCAAAATTAAGAAGACAGTAAACAACAAGTGTTGGAGAGGATGTGGAGAAAGGGAACCCTCTTACACTGTTGGTGGGAATGCAAGTTGGTGCAGCCACTTTGGAAAACAGTGTGGAGATTCCTTAAGAAATTAAAAATAGAGCTACCGTATGACCCTGCAATTGCACTACTGGGTATTTACCCCAAAGATACAGATGTAGTGAAAAGAAGGGCCATCTGTACCCTAGTGTTCATAGCAGCAATGGCCATAGTCGCCAAACTGTGGAAAGAGCCAGGATGTCTTCAGCAGACGAATGGATAAAGAATTTTAAAATGATTTCAGAATTGAAGACAAACCCAGGAGAAACACAAAGTAAATAAGATACTCCTTTATTTTTTTTAAAGCTTTATTTCTTTATTTTAGAGGAAAAGCATGAGTGCACACAAACACATGAGCAGGGCGAGGGGCAAAGGGAGAGGGAGAGAAGCAGACTTCCTACTGAGTGCAGAGCCTGATATGGGGCTCAGCCTCACGACCCTGTCAGGATCATGACCTGAGCTGAAACCAAGAGTCAGATATTTAACAGATTAAGCCACCCAGGTGCCCTGATTCTCCTTTAGTAATAGAATATGAAAAAGGAAATTATTAAAAGTCACAAAGAAATGAAGGTCACTTTCCCCTATTCTTTATGGTAAGTACAGTTAAAAATCCTGGATTATATGTAATGCAAACATGAGAAAACTCTAAAAGGTAGAAAGAAGGCAGTCTGGCTAGAGACCTCGGGACCCAGGGAAAGAGGTAAAGGCAAATTCCAGGTCTTTTTGTCTCGTGTATCTCAGATTTGTGGTTGGAAAAAGCAGCAATCTGGAAATACCAGTAGGCACAAGCCAAAAAAGCCCCAAGAACAAGCCCACCTGTTCTCTCTAGCCAAAGGACTAGGGAAGGGGCAGCTTAGCAAGACAGAAAACTTTTAGACACAAATAACTGCTCTACTATAGCCAAACACTACAGAAAGAACTGTGGCTTTGCCCTCATTGCTGTCAGCAAAGTCCCAGTATAGAGTCTAGATTTTCATTTTTGCCAGGATCTGGTGAGGTGCTCCAGCCACTCTCCAGCTGCCAGTGTTAGAAAAGTCCGATTAGGGAGCTGGGACTTTCTCAGCAATCTAGTGTTAATGTAACCTAGTTAATGTTTAGCCTTTTGGTTTTGGTTTTTGCATGTTATTTGCCTACAGTCTTAATCTCTGAAAGCCAGTTAGAGAGCTGGGACTTTCTTCTCCACCAGGCAGGAATGAGGCCTCCCTCACCCCTGTGATATCAGTGGAGCCCCTGTAGGGAGCCTGGATTCTACCCCACCTGGCAGTAACAGCTGGAATGAGTTGGCCTTCCCCCTTCCCTACTGGGGTGTCGGAGGAGGCCTGCTCTAACGGTAAATTTAAATTAAATCCAGTTTCATGCCATGGTACCCAAAATGTTCAGATTTCAATTGAAGATCATTTCTCATGTGAGGAGCTGGGAAAATCTCAACTTGAGTGAAAAAAAGGCAGTTGAGATGCTGACAGCAAGATGACATAGATATTAGAATTATCTGACAAGATTTTAAAGCAGCCATTATAAAAATGCCTCAGTGTGCAATTATAGACCTACTTGAAATGAATAATGGAGCCTCATTAAAGAAATAGAAGATGTAAGGAAGAATCAGATGGAAATTTTAGAACTGAAAAATACAGTAACCAAAACAAATACGTCACTGGATAGGGTCGACTGCAGAATGGAGAGGACAGAGGAGTCAGTGAACTTGAAGGTAGAATAATAAAATATAAATTCCTCAATCTCAATACCAGAGATAAAATAGAATGCTTAAAAAAATGAACAGAACTTCAGAGATATGGGGACCATAACAAAAAATTTTAACATTTCTGTCACTGGAGGAGTCCTGGAAGGAGAGGAGCAAGAGAGAGTGTCTGAAAAAGTATTTGAAGAAATAATGGCTGAGAATTGCCCAAATTTGGCAGAAGACATGCATGTACATGCAAGAAGTTGGGTGACCTCCAGCAATCCGTGGCTCCCACAGGGGTTCACAGTCCACTGGCTTTGTCTCAGTCTTGCTCTCATTTTCCTGCTCAGCCACCATATTTCTTTTCATTCTTCAAATTTCTAGCACATTTTCTCCTGTTTTCATTCTCAGCTATTGGCCTTGCTTCCTGTTTCTATTTTGAAGGGGAGTGGTTATCTGAAGAGGACTTCCACAAACTCCAACCACCATATTTAGCTGTTACCTGTATCTGTGCTCATTTATCCTGCCTTCTGTTTCTGTGCATCAGCACTGTCCAGTGGGGAACTTTCATGTCACTAGCCACGTGTGGTCACTGAGCTTGAAATGTGGCTAATGTGACCAAGGAGCTGAACTTTAAAATTTCAATTCTTAGTCCTCATCATACTTGATCTTATACCAACATTTGATATAACTAGTCCCTCCCTCCTTAACTCTTCTTTTTTTTTTTTTTAAAGATTTATTCATTCATTTGAGAGAGAGCGTGTGCATGCTTGAGTGCACACTCAAGTGCACACTTAAGTGCAGTGAGGGAAGAGTAGGTGGAGGGAGAGAATCCCCAAGCCAACTCTCCGCTGAGTGCAGAGCCTGATGCAGGACTTTGATCCCAGGAATCTGAGATCATGTCCTGAGCTGAAACCAAGAGGTGGATGCTCAATCGACTGAGCCACCAAGGCACCCCCCTCCCTCCACTTCTAAACACTTTCTTCAGTTGGCTCCCAGGTTTCTGTATTCTCTTGATATTTGTTCCAACTACTTATTACTTTCTCAGACTCTTTATCTGGTTCCTCTGGTTCCACTGACTTCTGAATGATGATGTGTCCCCAGGCTCAGCTCTTGGTCCTCTTCTGTGAGAGTTTATAT